GTCTGGCCCAGCGTGAGCATGGCCGACGGCGGCCCGCCAAACCCGCTGCTGAAGTCCTCCCCTTCCTTGGTCCTCTGTGTGGGGCCCCGCACGGGTGGTGGGGTGGTGCTGGGGGTTGGTGGTGTTGGTGGTTTGGTGGGTAGGAGGTCTGTGGGGATGGTGTAGTTGAGGTCTGCAAGAGAGGAGAACTCGTCGTCGGTGCCAGGGGGGCTGAAGGTGACGTTGTAGCGGGCAGTCAGCTCGGGGAAGGCCGGGCAGTCCCCTGTATGTCAGTGCGGTGGGTGGATGTGTGCAGAAAGACCAGACAGACAGGCAACAACACAGAAATGATCGGAGTCTCTCTTCTTGTGTGCGGTGCGGTGCGGTGCGGCCATTCGTTCGTTCGTTCGTTCGTTCATCATGACTTACGTGCGCAGACGAGCGAGAGGCTGGTGAATGTGCCGTCGAGGCAGACGAGCTCCTGTGAGTCACGGCCAGCGGCGCTGAAACCCGGATGGCACCTGAATGAAGCAATGAATGAACGGAGACCCAGACAACACATCCATGCCCTGCCCGCATCTCATCTGGCTGACTGTCTTTTTGTTGAGTGAGTGCAGTGCAGTTGTCTGTCGTGTCTTACACGGCGCGGTATTTCTCTCCATGTTTGGCGGCTTGACCCGTGAACTCCGGGACGAGTATCACCTCACGCGGCAATGCCTTGGTGTCATTCAGAGGGGCGCAGTCACCTAAACACACACACACACAACACACACACACACAACACACACAGGAGGACATGAAATGGCCATCCCATCCATGTCTGTGCGTTGCGCGTGTGCCGTCAGTCAGTCATTTGGTCATTCATGTGCTTACGCAGGCAGAGCAGCGAGTGTTTGGTGAATTTGCCGTTGAGGCACTGGATTTGCTCCTTGGAGATGCCCCGTGGGTCGTGCAGCCCACTGGCGCAGTGGACCGTCCGTGTGTTGCCGTGGCGCGTCCCCTCGCCCGTCATGTAGTACCGGTCAATCGGCACCGGCACCTCCGGCTGCTCGCAATCCTCTTTAGGTGTATTTATTGCAGACACACACACGCACACACACACACACACATTCACAGAGAGAGAGGTCTCCATCCATCCCTCCATGTCTGTCTACTCTTGTGTGTGCCTCTGTCTGTCTGTCTGTCTGTCTGTCTGCTTACTTCTGCACTCGAGGAGTATTTCGTCCCATTCGTTGTCGACGCAGGTGGTGAGCTGGTCCTCCACCTCAGAGTAGCCAGGGCTGTAGCCCGGCCGACAGGTGACGCGGTAGGTCGCACCGTGCACATAGCGCTGCTCGCTCGGCGTCAGCATGTCAGGTTGTACGCCACGCTCCCGTCCGTCCCGTCATCAAGTGTCGGCAACGGCGGCTCAGATGTGCAGCTCCCTGTGTGCCCACAGCACAGCACACATGTACAGTGCTACTGTATACGTCTGGGTGGCTCTCCGTATATATCTCTTACTTGCGCAGGTGAGTGCCCGTTCCTTGGGCACCCACTGGCCGTTGGTGCAGTAGACAGACTCGGGCTGGGCGCCGGTGGCCGGGCTGTGTCCCGCATCGCACCTCAGCTGGACGGTCGAGCCGAAAGGGAAGGTGGCGTTGTCCAGACAGTGAGCACACAGCAGATTGGGCTCCACTGGCTTGGGGAACGGGGGACACTCGGCTGGTAGAGAAACCGTCCACACACACAGAGAGGGAGGGAGAGGGGGATGTTGCATTGCATTAAGAGAGGGGAGTATGTGGTGTGGTGTGGTGCTTACGTTGGCAGTCGAGCGAGAACCCCACCCATTTGCCGCTGTCGCACACGACTCTGTTGTTAGCGTTGCCCGTCACACTCAAGTAGTGCCTTTTGCAGCTCACTATCACCGCAGCTCCGTGCCGATAGGTCACATTGTCGCCCCGGTGGGTGTGGGTGGTCTGCAGCAGTGTCACCTCCTCACCCTCCTCCTCCTCGAGACGCTCCTCCTCCCCTTCGGCGGTCTCGTTAGCCGCTGCTGCCGCTGCTGTGAGCTTGTGCTTGATATGGGCCACCGAATGGTCGGTGACAACACTGTAGGCGAGAGGGTCCGGGTTGATGAAGGGCGGACACACCTCTGCACACACAGAGGGAGGGGTGTGTGTGTTCAGTGCAGTGCGGGATGGTGATGGTGTGGTCCGTGCGTCGCTCACTGTAGCATTCGATGGATCGTCGTGTGAATTTGCCGTCGATGCATGTGACATTGACGGTCTCCTTGATCTGCCCCTCTGCCACAGCATAGCCCTCCTCCTCGTTGCAGCTGATCATCAGCGCCGTCCCGTGGCTCTCCAATGTGCCCTTCTCCAACAGATCGCCCTCGTCCGCATCCGTGGTGTTGGGCTGCTGCTGCTGCATAGCCTCATCCTCCTGCAGGTTGAGGGCGATCTGTGCCAGCTCCATCATGTCGGTCGGCAGCACTCCCTCCGTGTCACGCTCCGTCTTGAAGCGCGGCGCCGGCGCGTCCTGGTACGGCGGACACATCTCTGCAACAAGCCCACAGAGAGAGAGAGAGAGATGCACAGGTCTCTGTCTCTGTCTCTCTGTGTGTGTGGGGGGGGGC